CCCCGCCTGCACAGCACACGCCCGAACTCCGTGTTCTGGTTCAGAGTGAAACCGTGAACACACACTGTGTTGTCTCGCGGCAGCTAGACCTTAGGCTCTAGCACGAAGACCTCCCCTCCTCCAAGGTCACCTCCAGGCAATGTGAGGCGGCTTGGACTAAAAGCAAAAGCAAGTAAAACTTCATGTCATCCCAAGAAAGCCTTCAAGATACATCCAGTTACCATGTGTACGGCTCAGAGCTATGTAGTCTGTACGGCCTCCAGCCCGGCAGAGGATGACTCGCAAGCTGCAAAGAAGACCTGCTTTCATAAGCTGCCCTTCCTTAGAACTTCCTCCTCTGCTGAGTAAGGAAGGGGAGTTCCCTAATGCTACGCCCCAAGGGGTTCCGATGACGGAGTAATATGGAGCAGGCACGAACAAGGAAGGGGAACGTGGTTGCGCGTCCATGAGCTCCCTGGGAGCAGGGAGGGGGCACAAAAGGGCAAGAGGCCAAGCAGGGCGCCCTGACAGGGCGGACAGGGCTGCAGCCCGTGGAGTCCGTGCCATGGACTCGACACCATCACAAGGCACCAATGTCAGGGCTGCCCCCACCCAGAAGGCTCCAGGAACCTCCCCAGCAGAGCTGAGACGAAGCTCAAGAGTCCTCATCTCGAGATCAAAGTCCAAGGTCGTGGGGTAGTGGAGACCCAGCATGGTTTGCTGTTGGTGTATCAGAAGGGGTGCTTCCTCTCCCACTCAGATTACCCTGGAGACCTCCGTGCACCCCCACACCCTGCAGACACCCTGCAGGTCTACACAGTGAGAAAGAACACAAGTATCTTCTCTCAAGAGCAAAGACCTGGCAGGCGCTGGGGACTGGAGGCGTGTGAGCTGAGGCCACCTGGTGAAGCAGTGCGCTCAGCCCCCGGATGAGCGCTTTTTCTGTGCCCTAAACTGAGGCCCGGACGGCAGACATACCTGTAAACCCATCAGCAACAATGAGGAGCAAATCACATGACTCTGGGACATAAGCACAAATCAGACTCCATTATCACAAGACGGTTCCAGTGGATTTTCCAAAAGCTCTGAGGTCAGTTCTGTGTCGTGCACTAAGAAGGTGAAAGGTGCACTCTAGCATTTCAGATGGCTCTTCTCTCTGGAGGTCACGCAGCCCATGAGAGTTGCCACCTTTAGAGTTAGCCCTGAATTTGCCTTGGGGTTTTCCAGGAGCATTCTGAAATAATTTTAGAACCTCCCCTGTCCCTTCCCTCCCTCGGGAAAGCTAAGGACTAAGAGTGAAGAACCCACAGCTGGAAGGCAGCAATTCACTCCGGAGGCCTCCTAGGGACCCATATGGCAGAAATTTGGGCAGTGCTTTCTGGAGGGTGGCCTGGTAGGAACAATCTGGCTCCACCCAGGCACCAGGTTCTGACATGTGAGCTGGCCCCGACAGCCACGAAAGAATGGCCTGGCTCCTGGCACAGGACACCAAGGTCATGCCTGCTGGCGGCTGGGACCACAGCAGGAAGTTCAAATCCTGGTTAAAAACAGCCACAGACACATTTCCACTCCGTACACAGTAGGTAGTAGACAAACTGTCAATTGTCAGGCAAAACTCGTCTCCAACACCAGAAATCCATGTGAAAGTCCTATATTTCCCTTCCCAATAGACTACTAAATCCAGCTGGTAAGTAGGTACTAGAGGGGACTTAATAGCTGGAGTCCCACAAAGCTACTTAAAGGAAAGACTCCCCCGCCCCCGCCCTTTTCACCATAACCTTGTCGGACAGGGGTTGGCAAACTGTGGTCCATGGGCCAAATCTGGCCCACTGCCTGTTTGATGAAGAATGATTTCTACAGATGAACATTTACAACGGACTTGATATATCATGCAATGGATTTGATAAATCATACAACAGATTTGATAAATCAGGAATACTAACTTTAAATTCCAGTAAGCAAAATGTTATCCTCTAAAAAAAAGAATTCCATTTCTCTCATTAGTTGACCTGTAACATTAGAAAAGAACTATACTCAATTACTAGATTTTGAATTCCATCAATAAACAATTTTGTGGAAATCTGTTTTCTCTCACTATATAAATATTTACATAGTACCTTTAATTTTGCCTCTTGGCTCACAAAGCCTAAGTATTTACTTACTTAGGCCCTTGGAGGAAAGAGGTTTGCCGACCCCTGATTTAGGACATCAGTTTGAATCCCAAAGCATCTAAAACATCAAAGTCTGTTCCTAAATTACATGCCAAGAGGAAGAAGGGCACAGCTTCTTAAATATTAACGCACACTTTTTTTTTTATTATATTAAAATCAGGCAATGGTCTGACAATAAAAAGGCTGCTTATGGAATACTGTTATGTTCAACTTTACTTACAGGATGTTAAATCCTTAGAACTAAGGTATCCCCCAGAAAAAGATTAATGGAAACATCGATTGCTTTTCAGACTTGATAGTTGCTGCTTCAAAAGGTGGTTTTATACAAACACTAAATTAAAAAAAAAAAAAAAAAACTTTAGAACACAATGAATCGCTTTTATTTCGGTATGCATCCACATCTCAGCATTTAGTGGTCCTGAACAGAAAAGTGGAAAAATGCAGCAATTTGCCAGGAAGTCAAGCCCGCCAATTTCGGGGATCTGCTGTGCACACCGAGTTCTTTCTTAATCCCTGCTGAGGACCGTGGGAAGCAGCAGCACCAAAACCAAAGTATGCACCGAATTCAAGGTTCTTTTTCGTTCCAGTTGTCAGATTCCAAACTAGACCCAAATGGATTGTAAGATGACCACGTGAGAACCCTGTTTAAAACTTCAATTTTTAAAAGCCAAAGCAATTACAGGAAAAGAAAACAATTCATTCAGAGGGATCGTGTGTGCTTACAAGTGTCTTCTGTGGCCTTTCTCCAAGTTTAACCACCAAGCACTTTGAGAGCTGGCAGATCTGAGTACCCCTGGTGACTGTTCTTTTCACTTTATCAAAACCTGAGCTAAAAAACCACATCAGCTGACGATGACAGCAGAAGGTGGCAGGGCTGAGGACCCAATATTCATTCCCAGGCTGGTGGAGAGTGAGTAAATGTGGTTCCAAAACTAAATGAGGGAAGTCAGAGACTCTTTCCAACCTTACCTGATGGCTTCTGGCCAAAGCAAGGAAGTGTCGTGGACAGTGTTGGGTGGTAATGGTGCAAAAAGGGTCTTGAGGAGGAGGAAGGAAAAAGCAGCACCCCTCGATTAAGGTGGGGGAGAAGATATGGGAAAGCCCTGAATTCCTCACCAAAGGCCAATTTCAGAGGGGAGCGGAGGGGGTTACAATCTATGCTTCGGCCAAGGGTGGTCATGGGAAGTGGAGAAAGGATGATGGCTTAGAGGGGGGAGGGCATCATTTAAGACTTAAAAAAAAGAAACCAGGGGTGCAGCTGGAGCACCCCCACACACCCAGCAGTAGTCCCACAGGCTGCGACCTGAAACCTTCACACCTACTCTAGCAAGCCACCCCAAGCTGGAGGGCTGTTGCAGGGATGGAGGGAGGGAGGGAAGGAGGGGAGGAGGCAGGGAGGCAGGGGGAGGAGAAGGGGAGAAGGCAGAGACCCCAGGCCATGTAATCAGCAGCAAGGTGATTGTGTGATGTGTCTTTTCACAGTTGAGTTAGATGTGCCCCACCGGTTATGATGGGAATCAATTTAAATATACTTTCCTGATCCCAGAAGTTCAACTATGTGGACAGTGGTTACACTTGACAGGATGATTTGTTATAGCACAACTTATATATTTCAAATGGACAAAAAAATTAGTATCGTTTACAGTATCTTAAGATAAATTGCCTTTGAATGGGAGCTTCCTTTCCAGTACTTTGAGGTCTACAAGACGTATCTAGAAAATGTACTACTGTGGAAAATGACTGCTTAAATCGAATGGGGGGGAGGAGGGAGGGCCTGTGGTTTCTCTTTTTGATTAATTGCTGTAACACTGTCCTTCAGGCGGCTGAGGGAGTTTCATGTTTTCTTTAGACATCATTAGGCGCCGGACCTCTTGCAGGACAACCTTGATGCTATATGAATTCTGCCATTTTGCTAGCACTGATATGGCTCTTGGGTCCACCTACGAAAAGGCAAACAAAAAACTGTCAGGCTCTCAAACAAATGCACTGCTATGTGCTGGAGTAAAGCTGCAGATAGGAGTAAAATGCATTTTTCCAGTTGAACATGCCCATCACACAATGGTATCTGACATGCAGAAAATACCTGTGTGATCCCTCCCTCCGGTCAGTCTGTGTTTCCTGGTTTGTGTCCCAAACCCTCACCATTTGGGAGAAGGAAA